GCACAGTAAAGAATGTGCTTTCTTACATAGTCAGAAACGTTGTTAGAAGGCTGCAGAGGAAGACAGTATCAGCAAATTCAAAAAAGAGACTAGACAAATCCATGGGCAGCAGGTCCTTAGATGGACTCTAAAGGGAACTGGCAAGTATGAACCCTATCACACTAGTAGATGCTGGGCAATATGATGGGAAGGGGCTGCAGAAACTGGACAGGCTTTCATATTCTCCTGTTGGTGCGGTTCAAGATACAATACTAAATTAGGTAGACCATTGGTCAGACCCAGAAGAACACATCTTATATTGTTAGAAAAAAGAATACTTGATCACCTCAAACTTCATCCTTAAATAGCATTTTTTCCTGTTTCATTTTGTAAAAATAACAGTGTTTAACATATCACACCCTAGAAAAATAGTGCAATGCTGACTATGCAGGCTTCCTCATTAGCAATGACATGAGTACAATAAATAAAAGACATATAACACTTGGAATTTCTGTAATTGTCATGATTTGAGGTCTATAATGCTTACAAAAGCCTATTTTGCTAAATGAAGTCACCTAGAAATTCCATCAAAAGTCAGATGTCATGCAGGAGAAGTCATCTCTAGCTCACAGGCTTTGTTCAGCATTCAAAAATTCCTGGTTCTGCATATGATATTTGGTACTTCAGCATCCCCATGAGTCTGGACACTGTGCAGCTTGTATTAAACTTTCGTAATGGACTGTATTCAACATCTTCAACTACTAGAAGTGTACTTGAAACTAGGCGAGGTCCAAACTCTCTTTTCAAGAGTAGTTTCGTAAGCTATGGCAACAGGGGAAGAGTAATACTGCTGACAATGACAATAGGCACTTGCCTCCCACAATCAATCATAATACCAGAGAGGAAAAAAAATTCATCCCGTATAGGAATAAAAAAATCTTAACTCTTCAACAGCCAAGTGGTGTGCATGCTGTTAATGTTACTCACAGTTACATTTACGCACTGTTCTCTGCCCTGCAGACAAAGACTCCATCACAAAATACTCTAGTTTTGCTCTGGATCTGCCCAGCGCTGGGATTCCCAGTCTGAAAGTCAGCAGCTACTTCAAATATAGGTCTGATACCAATAACCTAGAGGTAAACGGCTTATTCAATAGCATTTATTATATATATTCACCATCTTTATACTGACGATAGGCTTGCTAGCACAAAGCCATACACCAAGCAACTGAATTGTTTTGGGATGGCCAGTCTCTAGGTGGTGTGATGTAGCCACAGCTTCCTCCTGCCAGACATGGGTACCAAAAGACTGGGACACACTCATGACAGAGTTCTCCTTTGTGGTACCTTGAAGTCAGAAAGCCAGTGCAGCTACCTCAGGTCAGCGCAGCTGGATTTCTTTCCACTCTTCTGGCCTACATCTCCTGCCACAGAAACAACACTATCCACTGATGTCAGGCCACAAGCATTTTCTTGTCTGCATTCAATAAAACTTTTATTTAGCAATCCTATTGTGATATACATATTAAGGGTACAATCATGAAAGCTCATCCAACAGATCAATTTTGTTCCACTTATCTACTAATACGTTATGGACAGAGAAAATCATACTTCACAACATCCTTCAGCAACTTCCAGTCTACTGAACTTCATGATATAGCAAACAAACAATATCACCCACTTTTGGAGTTAAATAAGATCGGTATTGTTCTACAGAAAACCACAGATTGAATCATTGAAGGCCTCTGCTCTCAGGGGCATCAGGGAAGCTGGGATGTGCCCTTTGCAGATCAGCCAATCCTAAGTTTCCAAAAAACAGGAAAGTCCGAATCAGCATATGTTACAAAAAACAAATAAAGACAGAGGAAGGCCAACCCATAAAGTAAACAGATAACTATCAACTCCAGACACACCACGCAGAAAGGATTGTGGCAAAAAGCTGACAATACTCCTGAGGCTTGTTAGCTCTTTAGGCTAATTATCTGTATCATGAAAAAAGAGGTTCCAAAATCTGATCAGCTGCACCTTTTTCCAGCTGGTAAGCTGTTACCCAGCAACTCTGGCTGTCTGCTTCACTTGCCATCAGTTCCTCTCTTACACTTCTAAATTTTAATTCAGTTCCTCTTAGATAATATTTTTTTATAACTTCAAACTTTTCCTTCATTACCACAGAAAAAACCCCAACAGAAAAATGACACTTTCTGTGAACACTGCTGCTCTACTGTTCGGGGGCAAACAGTCAAGACAGTGGAGTCATATTCTCATTTAAATGCATGTAATCCTATCTCAGCCAAGATTTTACTGCACTGTGAGTTTCCCCACTACTTTCCTATTTCTTCTCAGGAATAACAAGACAAATCAATCGTCTTCACCAAAAAGTCTGTATCAAAACTTACCCCTCCACGATCACATGCTGAAGTTAGGAATGAGTAGGAATCAGTGACAGACTTGAGCAGCATTAACATAACAGGTAATAATCCTTAAATAAGTCACCTTTTTATTTTGCACAAATATCAACCACCTGCTTTTACTTCAGTCACTATGGTGTCACGAGAAATTTTCCAAGATGCATCAGAAAGAGAAGGTTTGCCTACAGACCTCACCGTCATGCCAAGCGGCAGCCAGCCCTGATCAAGCTGACTCTGAAGAGGAAACATCAGCAAAGCCTGGGCTCACCTGCAGCTCCTCAAAGCCAGCTGGTGCACATCTGCACACTACAGCGGGTAATACCCTTCAGATGCTTTGTAATATTGATACTGAAAAGAGTATCACGTTTTTTCCATATATCCTGAAGCTATTGCATCTTTTGGACAGAGGGTGAGTGTGTTTTCAGGGAACCAGGGGCAGATGTTTCTCTGCCTTGTCTCTAAGACTCTTCCATCCTTTCACTTGTCTCTGCGTGTTGGGACCTTGGTTTCTGTCCTTCCTGTGGGAAACTGCTGTGCAAGGACATCCTGGGACCATTTCTCTCAAACCCTTGCAAGAGGCATATCCATACCTCAGCACAACCCTGTCACTCAGTCTCTGTGCTCCCAGGACCCACAACCCTCCCCGGGGCTTTTCTTCTCACATTCTCCCATCTTTTCCTTCCCCTCAGTCATCCCTGCTCCTCCAACACATGGCAGGATTGCTATGTTAACAGAAAAAGAGAGGAGAATTGGGTGCTGTAGCTCTCCCCGCCTCCTGGCCTGAACATCATGAGCTGCTGCCTCCCGGGAGGAAGCCGGGAGCTGAGCTCAGTGTGGAGCGTCCAGCAGCTCCCTCCCCTTCTCTCCTCCCTCTGCACTCCAGTTTCTCTCTGGTCTCTGGCTGGGGCAGGGCTTGCCTGGCTTGGCTCCATGCTGCCAGAGAACAGCATGTACCTTGTCTAGTCAGCCTCCAAGGGTCTCCCTGAGAGCCACCTCTGAGCTCAGGCAGTGTTTCCAAATGGCAGGGTAGCAGCGGACTCCCAGTTCACAATTACCTGGACAGGTACTCTCACCTACCAGATCAATGTTATAACTAAAGGCATCGGCAACAAAAGGGAGGCAGGCAGGTAATTTAGACAGAATACTTGGTGGTCAAACCAGCCTGCATGTCTCAGCTACAAGGATTTTTTTTTATGAAGTGATTTTATCATTTTCCTGCAAGAATCAATAGAAGCAGCCAAAAAAGAAATAATTGAAAGGCAGAAGAATTAATCAGAAAGATACTGTTTTATTTGCATAGTTGTATGTAATTATTAAGGTATGCATGTTTTAGCGTACTACCTTGGAGACACCCCACACAGCATAACACTTTAGCAATATATAGTGCACCAACATTGTATTTACTTCATTGCATTTTAATAAAGTTATAAAGCCACAACTTATTGAAGTTATTTCAGCAAAACTCTTCCTTAGCAGTTTCTGAGAACAATTGGGACTACTCTTCAGCTTGAATAGTGTAGTTGTTTCATTTCCTTTTAATACAAAATGGTTTTAGTAAGGGATAAATGGAAAAAATTACTAACTGCTTTAATGGTAGTACTGACAGGGCTTCAACTCAGAAATAAGACTGTTTGAAACATGAAGATTTTAATAGGCTAATGTTCAATTAACTTGATATATATTCTCACAAAGAAATGTATTTAGTTACTAGACTATCCCACGGTAACACATCAGCCATTTATTTCTAAACAAAGGCTATATTTTTAAATACATCGTTTTATACCCGTTAAATATAGCCCTGAAAAATTAGACTATTATGTGTTTATTAAAATGATGGTTATTTTATCAAAAGCACAGAGAGAGGAAAAAAATGTGGGAGAAATTAAAAGAGAAGAGAGAATTTATATCATATACATAAAAGAAACCTGTCTGGTCAGTGCCTATTAAGCTATATAAAGCATAAAGTTGTCACAAAAAAAAACAAAAAAAATCAAAAGACAGACCTCTGCTGACTGCTAACTGAAAAAATCTGCAAGAAAATCATAAACACAGATTACTATTACGATCTGCTTCTACTTCTCTGAGCCTCTGAGAGGAGGAGAAACGCATGAAGCATTACACAGCACAGTTTCACACATGCCACTATAAAGTCTGTCTCCTCCCAGGACACTTATCTCTACCAGTCAGTCTACTTATGCAGCAGAACTACATGTAAGTATCCCAAAATAACTCATGCAATCTATAGCTTCACTTTAGCCTCCAGCCTCCAGAACTGAAAGCTTTACATTGTAACTTCAATACTGAAATAAACCTACTGAAGGTTTTTAGAAGGCACCTATAATTGCAAGGACTGAATCTGACTACTGAATGGGAACAATGTATGTAATGGGTTAAAGAAACGTATGTAATAGCTTCTTATTAAAAAAAAGCTACACACAGAAATGTACCAGAAAAAGCTAAATAATTTTGTTTCTCACTATTAATTGTCAAACTCAGCAGACAAACATCTTCAATAACTATTAAAAAGTCAAATTAAATCCTGCGACTTTCCTGGGACGTGCCTGTGTGTCATAATAGGAAGGGGAGCTTGAAAGAAACAAACCAAACACGTTACCACATTGCGTCGGCAGTCCTTAAGGAGCTGGTAGATCGGGATCTTGGCTTCATAACAATGCTCATTTTGAAAAATTCCTTCAGTATTTCTAGCAGTCAAACATCAGTTGTCCTTAAAAATCTCATTCTCAAAGTACTCCATTTCGCAGTATTTTTTTAAATCCTCTGCTTTTTAAAACACTTGAAATCCGTCTCCTGTAATAATCCAAGCTGCGGAGGGAGAATTCTGACACGCTGCAACTCCTTCCTTTTTCACGCTGAATTAACTCTAGCTCTGTGCTGTTCGGAAATGACAGTGCTTTTCTCTTCTGTCTTGTATTGCCCTGGGAGGAACTAGTCTATTTTGAATCTATTCTCCCTGCAGGTCACATGGGAACGAAGGCAGCTGAAAAGAGTCTCTATCTCTTTCTTGCAGTTTGATAACAACAGGTTTAAAGGTCAATCACATTAGGGAAAAAAAAAAAAAGAACAATACTGATGGATAATAAATGAAAGGAAAAGATGAATGTTAGTAACAGTAACATTAGTGAGTTTGCAGGGAATTTCCACTTAGAGATATGCTAGATAAATTAGTCTCTGTGGAGTAAAGAAAGGAACAAAGATTTTTCATGCCAAGTTAAGTAAAAGCCTTACCTAGAAATGTAATTCTTCCTGTTCTTTTTCTTCTAACCCTTGCCTAGATACTGTGAATACTTACTATTTTCTAACTTCACAAAACAGAAAGTATTCCCTGTCTGAAAGACACTCGAAACACTGTGGGGAAGTTAAGTAAAAATAAAATTCCTTATTGACTGTTAAAGTCAAACATACATACAGACAGCTATTGTTATAAATCACTGAAGGACAAAATACCTCAGTTAAAGAACTCTACTATGACGTCCTCTCTACTGTACTGCAGAAAGGATCTTTTCTTGTTACAATAAATACATTAATATTTTATGCACTAGAAACAAACTTCCATTTATAATTTGTAGCCAAAATCTTATCATAAAAGCTTTGAGAGTTAATTCCGTTTAGTACGTATTAGTGTAAGCATATTTGGCAATTTCAGCATTAGAAGAGGAAAAAATGTAGAGAACTGGATATGCCATTTAAATTAAACATTTCAAATATGCTCTGAACTGTGCTAGAATTGTTTTTAAACTGAAAGAGCAAAGTTATTTCTCAACAAGTGGTTACATGCATAATAGCCATTCCTTTGTACAGCCTTTACAAGTGTTGCAGTGTATTACTTTTGATGGTAGTGCAGCTAGGTTAATAATGAAAGCAAGCACTAAAAATTGTATTTATAAACTTCGTATAGACTTGGCAAATAGAAGGAAAACATGGTAAACAGGCTATGCGTTAAAATGTCAAAAAATTCATCAAATAGGAATGGGCGTAAAATATGTAATGCTCTCTAGAACCTTTACAATTTATTTTATAACAGTACAATAAAATGCATTACCAACTACCTTGCGTATCAACAGGAAAGATCCTAACTGCCCTGGAGGCTTTTGCCAGTCATCTGCATATAAAGTGTTCAACAACAGCAGACGGCATGTTAATACGGTTTCTCGTTCTTCACGTTTTATGGCACCTATCTTTCAAATATCACCTAGTGGTTAACGCAGAACCTTTCGTAAGAGTCTGATGGAATCATCAAAGTTAACTTCAAAGTACGGAAAAAGTATCTGTGTTAAATTTGGCTCAAAGGGTCATACAGTCATGGGACCTTTAGAAACAGTTGAGTTTGTCACCGTGCAGGTCACACGTCTACAGAAGTGGACAGAAATCAGGCACCATGTTGTGAAACTTTTTATTCCTTAAACGGATGGAATAGGTCGTGAAGAAAAACAAAAATCACATGGAATAGAGGTGCTGGGCTATTACAGAATAGCTGGTCATTATAAAGTTTTTTTTAAAGTTTGCCTGATTTTTTATTATTGATAAATATCAACATTATTCCCATATCAATGATGGAACACAAAATGAAAAAAAACAAAACTTTTTAAAGTGGTTTCACAATAGTATACTGGAATGAAATATTCAAGGACTATTACCTCTTTTACACTCAGTAGACATGTCAGGATAGTTCTCAAAAGCGTATCAGTCAAGATGATGCTGTCTCTTACTTGTAGTTAGTAGAAATATAACTAGAAATATGCTGTAGTATATTTAGGTACAAAATATTACTATACAATATAAATACAATGTAGTTACAGGTACTTATATAATTAAGGTAGTGTTTTTCAATGCAGATTTGGGAAAAACAGTCTGATGGAGACGTAGAGCACCAACGGAGGTAAATATTAACACCTATTGCTAACAAGCTTTCTATTTCGATTTCCCTCATCAGCTCCTTAGAAACAAACCCCTGACCTCCAAGTGCCTGTCAAGTTCAGCCCAGGTGATATTATGAAATATATATATTAATTAGCAACAAGAAGACTACAGTATTGCAACCATATTCCAAGAAGTCATATCAGAGCCTCAGGTAGCAACCTTAGAAGTATAGATTTCCTGCAAAAAGGAATATATCAGTAGGAGGGAGAGCTCACGGTCCTCCAGGGAATGTTAGTTTTATGTGATATTCAAAAATTGGCTTTGGTGAAGCTAACAAAAAAAAAAAAAAAAGAGAAAACGAGGCATGAAAAAGAGCAACCATTGGTACCTTGCAAGCCGCATGCAAAGCAAAAAACAATTGCCTGTGACTTCTCAGCTCAATTAGTAGAAAAAGATTCTTGCAGGGAACCCAGAGATTTGATGGTGAGTATTAAAAAAGACAAACCTTTTCTGGACAAGTTTCTAAGGAACTGATTAGACCAACTTTGGCAGTTAGCAAGAGCTTCTAATTCATACCTAAAACCTGTTGTGCCGCCATTAATATCAATGGCAGTTTTATCTACGATTTAAAGAGCGGTAAGAGCATACCAGTCCACTGTGCTCATAGAAGATGACACACCATTTATCTGAGGCCTCAGGTCTTGTTATGGGGTCAAATTCTCTCAAATTCTCATAATTTCAGGAATTAAGAGAGAGAGAAATTAAGGGAAATAAAGAGAATAAAGAATGAAATGGCCTTTCCACTCTGATAGCAATGGAAAATTGAGATATCAATTAACTAATTGTTAAAATAGCCAGTAGGAAGCCATCAGCAAGAGAATTAAATGAAACTTCTCAAAGACACAATCACAGTATCAGATCCAACTCCATTATAAGAGCTACGACTTACGTATCAGAAGATAAAAATGTATCTATGTTAATTGGAAGCATTCTTTTTTCCCAGAAGATAATTTTTTGAGTAAGAGCTACTTCATTTTATGCTATTAAATCCAAAATGCCAAGATGCAAATTATGTACAAATATGTAAAGTACTATAAAGTAGATAAATATAGGCATATTCATTATTGTACATTGCATGTTTATAAAAAGATGCGCATGGCTTTATAGATGCATGTACAGTATACATAGTACATAAATGCAAGCATTTATTTGAGACAAATGCAACAGGCATTTGTAGCATCTGATTTGTACACGTAATTCTGTAACTTCAAAAAAATCATATTTGTTTTCCTATTTGGAATCTTTTTTAAGGGTGGCAGGAAGAAAGACTCTCAAACTGGGCTCTTGTTGGTATGGCATCACAGTCAAGGCAAATATTGATTGCATAATGAAAATAAGGAAAAAAATATTTTCAATTAAAGAAAATACTGAAAGATTGAGTAATTCAGTACTGCTAAATACACTAGTAATAAAAGCGGCAAGAAAAATAACGTTTTTTAGCTGCATGTATTCGTTGACTGAGGTTTTGGCTGTATAGCTAAGCTGTCTAAGGAAGAAAAGATATAGGAGTAACTAAAACACCAATAATAAAATGTATGTAGGATTCAACCCACTCTGAGGATGCTTGCATCTTAGTTACTCATCTTCAAATTAGTAACTAATTGAATTAAACCAGTGTTACATTGCACAAAATTGAAAATTAAAATGAATTGGAAAAAGCATGGCTTAGGTAATGAGGCGCAGGACTGACTGTTCTGTTCCATGCCTGGAAACATCTTTGACTAAAGAATATGGAAAATTTGTTTAAACATTCTGAGTTTTGGCTTCCTCATTTGTAAAACAGGGATAACACACACCATACTGCTTGCAAAGCACTTTGACAGCAAAGAGCTGAAAACATGCAATAGGTTCCAGGTTATTGCTGCTGTTGTATACAACCTGAAGACACACGTTCACAATATCTCTTTTTAAGACACAGTGAAAAGCTCCTGTAGTTAGATAAGACTCGAGTTTAACATTTTAAATTAAAAGCTACAACAGCTGGTACCACTTTTCTGGTTTACCGAGGTGAAAAATTCAGGAATGTCTAGAAAATATGCATTGCTTTAGGGCACATAGGGACACTGGCAATGTATCAAGAGAAACAGAATCCTGGAAGTCTAACATCAAGCCTTAGCATGTAAAGAATGATTGGGCTCTTAAGTATGTCGTTTGGAATGCACATTAGCAAATGAAAGCTGCTGCTTCAGGATGTGCAATCTTAGTTTCATCATACATTTTTTTCAGATAGGATTTTTAAAGTATCTCTAAAAACCTGCATCTGGGCTTATTCACTCAGGACTATCCCCAGCATTGCTTAGCTACTCTTGCATCTGATCTTCTGCACACTTCGTATCTTTCCTTTCTTCTCTTCATATACGCTTACCAGTTTACATGCTTAAATGAAATATAGTCCAATATATAAAGAATATGAACTGTGATCTGAACCCAACCTTTCTAATCTCTAGGAGCACATACTCCACAAAAGGAAATATCTTCTCACAAGCTAAGCACCACACCCATTAGTTTTGCTAAACTGTGAGTTGCACACTTCATTCTAGTTCATCCACAGCACTAGTTTATCCTCTTATGTCCTCTACTGCATAACATGACTGAAGGACAAAAAAGATTAAGAAGATGTTCTTATATTACTTGGGTGGGTTTCAGAATTAGTAATGCAAGTGCAAGCTCAGAAGAGGCAACTTTCAATAACAAGCACCAAGCCAGAGAATTGGAGAAGGAAAGTTTTGACCCACCAGAAGATTTTGCCACTGCTTATCAGAGCAAATGATTTTAAAAAATATTCTTTTGAAGGGTGTTGACAGAATGCTAGGGAAACGCTGCCATCTAGGTAACAGCATATTCTCGTTTGACTGGAGCAACTTTAACAAAGAGGAAAAAGGTATATATAACTGCATAAGTAAAATAAGAGAAAAAAGTATTAATAACTACACGTTAGAATTCTCAAGAATGGAAAAAGGCAAATCAAAGG